GTTGGACTTGGGTCACATGACAAGGGCAGAACACATAAGGAAGGAATGGGGATAGGTAGGAGACCCAACTTGAAAGTGTTTGATGTACCCACTGCAGAGAAGCTAATATAGAAACCTTAAAGCAACAGAGGTCAATATGGGAAGGGGATCAGGAACTAGTGAAAAGGTCAGGTAGAAATGAATCAATTTGGGTTGTAACACACTTGTGCATGGAAGCAATGCTAGTATCTCTCTGTATACCTATGCTTATCTCAACTAGCAAAAACACTTTGTCTTTCTCATTATTGCTTATGTCTTCTCTTCAATAAAATTGGAGAAAAGGGCAGAGCTGGTTCTGCCTGGAAGCAAGGGGGAGGTGGGGTGGGAGAGGGAAGGGGTGGGGGGCAAGGAAAGAAATGGCCTAAACAAAATATGTACATATGAATAAATGAATTTAAAAAAAACTCAAAAAAGATAAAGATCCAGAATGACTCAGAACTTTGAAAATCCATGAAGTTTAAAAGTCAATGAAAAGAATTACTATCAAATTTTGTGGTTGACTGAAAGTTTGAATAAGAAGTGATTATAAATTTCATGAAATTTCAAAATTATGAAGAATGCTCCTAATCATACCTAGATCATTACATTGCATTTTCAACTGCTAAAATATGTAACATCTTTTAACTATAATGCTCTATAATTTTTCTATTTTATTGGGATTAGAAAAATAATAAGACTTGGAATGGTCATACATGTTTGTGATACCAGCACTCAGGAAGCCAATGCAGAAAGATAGCAATTTCCAAGTCATCCTTGTCTACACAGGATTTGTAGGTCTCTATCCTACATAGGAAGACCCTTTCTCAGAATTTCAAAAAAACAAGAAGAAACAGGAAGAGGAGCACAATGAATAGGAATAGGAGAAGGAGAAGAAGAAGCAGTAGTGGTGGAGCAAAGAGATGCTATTTTAATCAGATAAGTGATGCTCCAAATATAAAAAATTTAAATCACATAATAAACATCTTTGATGGGCATAAATCAGTGTTTCTTCTAATTGGAAAATGTTAGTTTTAAATGGCCTTTTAAAACCACTACATTCACTAAGTGAGAGGAAATTGTTAGAACTTTAGGAAAACAATAATTACCTGCTAAATTGAAAAAAAAATGTTATTATATATGCTTATGTCTATCAAAATTTTCTTCAAATTGAAAACAAACTATGTGAAAATTGCAGTTAATTTCCAAATGTGTGTTTAAAGTCCATGCAGTGTTGCTAGCAAATTATCAAACAAAGAACATCAATGATCTAGAGTTCCAGAAAGCATTGCATGCTTCAATTCATCACAAGTAACTGTGACGTTTTGGAAGTATTTAACTATCACAGATTCTCTATTTTCTTCAGTTATAAGAAAAACAATTTTGATTATCAGCTAGAAAAATACATTAAGTCAGGTAATACCCAATGAATTGTCTGTTTTATTCTTCTTCAGGTAAATTATTTTAGAGTCCTTTATTTTTTATCGCATTCTATATCTAGTACATGGTTTGCCTCATCTATCTCATTACTATCTATATGACACACAGTTTTTGTTTAAATCAGACTATTGATCTGAGTTCATTCTTTTTCTGTCTTCCAGATATACCTGTTTAGAATGGTTGTAAGTACGTTGGTATCAGACAGTTTAAAATTTACCTCAGGATCTCTACCTGCTTTTCCCTTGTTGGCCTTTGTAAGTCTTTACATGGAACTAATTCTCAGGGCAAATTCCATAGATTATGGATCTCTTTTTGCAAAGCAAATTCCAAATCATCTTTGAGATTACAATTTTCTTAAATCTGCACCACCAGTAAAATCTTATGTACTGTCACTTCTGTCTGTAATCATCACTTAGTCTACTTTTCTTTTCTAAGCAATAATTTCTTTAGAATCTGAACTGCTTTCAATGCCTTGAGTTTTGTCTTGAACTCTATCCAAGTAATTATCTTCACTGAAATATTAATAGGCTTTTCAAATACATATTTAGACCATATCACTGTCTTCATTAAAATCCTTCAGTGATATCCAACCTGGATAAGTTCACAACTCCTTAGCAGAGATGTCAAAGCCATGTTGACTTAACTCAGTCTTCCTCCTTTCTCATTAGTCTTTGATTAAATAAACTTTTTATATATTTGTACTTGTCTAAATAATTAAATTGTATATATTTAGAATTTAAAGTTATAATGAGCTTATTTCACTTCATAGTATTCCATCCCTGCTATCTTTTACCACTGGGCCATTACAAGTCTTGCATCTTCATCAAAGTCCTTACCACCCTTTTCTGGCTAATCTTGATTCACATTTAAAGGTTATTTTACCTCCTGGCAGGTGATTTTTACAGTCCCTATCCTAAAAAGCTGAACTCTTCTTTCTTACTCATACTTTATTACTGCAATTTCCACAGACACAAGTACCTTTTTTTCACTCATGCATCTATTTATATTTCCCTTTAGACTATTAATATTTTGAAGGCAATGAACTTGTTTATCTTGTTAACTATGAATCAATACCATCTAGAATTCTAGAGGGCATATACTAAATAATCAATAACTATTAAATGAGTCTTTTATACTAGAAGCAGATTACTAAAAATTTATTAAATGCAATGATTTTATCCATAATTTGTGAAAGTTCTTCAATTAGATTTTAAACAAAGCATTAATGAAATTTATGAGATAATTTTAAGACTGTCAACTGTTAAATGTCTTTCTTTCAAAATGATGCTGAAAGTCAGGATTTTTTTTTTACAACAAAATGTCACTTTCCATTCCTACAATCTTGGGTTGTTTAGCATATGTATCTCCTTTCACTGAGCAACATGGGAAAACTCTATCTAAATCACTCAGTATATCTGCCATGCAATTACTATCAAAAGCATAGATAGTAAGATGGACATTTCCCCTCCTTCATTTCAGGTAACAGTGAGGGAACAAAAAGCTATCTAGATCCTCTCCATTATTTTGAATCTCTACACACATTTTTTCAGTTACTAACCCAATCTGATTCCATCAGCTGTAAAAAAGGAGCATATAAAATATAATGAGATAAAGAATATTATTTCTTATAAATCCATTATAAATGTACAAATGGTTTCATAATAAACTATGTGGAAGATCTTCAAATATTATAATTAGAACCAGTTTGACCTTCCTCACAATTCTCTTTAATACTTAAATATTATAGAAAAATAAACATATTTTTTTTGCTAACTGCCACGCAGCTCCCTGTTAAGTTTCTTGTCAATTTATTTTTCTAGATATAAGTTACATGCTGGTGATTTTGGTAAAACTTATTCCTAATATTAAAAAAATTCAATAAGAAGAAATGAGAAAGAAATAATATTTATGCCATTTATTGAGAACCTGAAATATAGCTAAAGTTTATTCATTTACTTAAAAAATACACTTAATCATGCCTACTATGTTAATTACAATTTAAAACCTTTGTTTGAAATGGAAATAAACATCATTTTTTTACAGATGGAGAATATGAATTAGTAGCATAGCAGTTAGAAATTTTCTTTAATGCTGCAGGATAAGGAAAAAGTATAAACAAATGGAATTCCAAATTTACCTTGTTCCATCATATATGCAGGGAAAAATATGCAAACTATCTCACAGTCCTCCATTACAATTTCACCTGATTATCAGTCTTTGATTTGTTTAAGCTTTTGCTCTGTCCATCTTTTTAAAAGTATAATTCATTTCTAATCCTTCTTGCAATTAAGGTCCACAGTAAATGAGATGTAAATCTGAACTCAGTTTCAAATGATCTGAAAATATTTAAACACTTATATGACTCATATAAGAAATATCTTTTCTTTATGATTGAAGGGGACAAAAATTTACTTAAACAATTTCATAACAAAATATAGAGCAGTTACACTAAATAAATAGAAGGAAGTTAAATGTTATTTCTCTTTAACTTATGATGAAAACAATGAGCACCTTCATGTTGAACTGACAATTGTTGAATATGCCAAGCTCAGGAAAAGTCCTAAAATAAAAAATTGACTATTAAAAATAATTATAATACATCCTACCTATATATTTAAAAATATATACTCTACTTCATCTCTTGGAAACACAAAACAGAATCTGCCAAGGTGTAAAATAATTTAAAAGACTCAATTATTTTCTACCTCTCTGCTAGGCAGGTACATTGGAAAATACTCTAAATTGAAAATGCTCCCTATGCACCGTGCTAAAGGAGAATAATGTAAGCAAATTATGTTTTTAATTTCAGGTGTCATATTATTCTGGGATTTTAGCTGAGTATAATTCAAAAATCAGGAAGACAATTTGAACAACTGCTTATTTTTTCTATTATCTACATTCCTTACCATAATATTTAGAACATGTAAGTATCTTTGAAAGAACCGTCCCAGAATATTAAGTAGAATGTTGAATATAAATTATATTTACCAGCAGTGAACTAATGGAATCATGTTTGAATTATAGTATGTAAAATAGGCTTGTACTAGCTTCTACTCCTTCACTTACTTAATATTGTTTAGAAAAGTATTAGTATTTCCTTGAAACTAGTCAGAAACTAGTAAAAAAATTTTTTAAATCTAAGGGTCAAACCACTTGTCATAGCTGGTTAGCTCTGTCACCAAAGAAACCATAGACTGCACGTGACTATTGAGCATGGTTGTGTTCTGATAACATCTTACGAAATTGACGGAGACCTTGAATCTGCCATATTTCACCAAACTTTAGTCTGGAACTTTATGCCTCTTAACATAGTTGTTTGACCTTAAAGTGAACAATCGCATTTTCTTTTCTTTTTCTTTGTTAGGTTGGGAGAGGGTCTCCCTGTGTGGCACAGGCTGTTCTTGAACTGACTTTCCTCCTGCCACTGCCTGCAGCAATGCTACCAACAACCCCTACATTTTCTTTAGTAAGCCACACAGCCTCAGCATTTTTAAAACTTGCACTGTTTTTAGAACATATAAGTAGGGAGTTACCAAAATACTAACTGTCGGAAATGGCGGTGACTTCCTCATTCTGATACAACCAGCTGACAGCTGGTGCAGGTGAACTGCTAACCTGGCAGACCACTTCTGCATCTTCTCCTTGTTTGAATTCTTGGGGAGATGCCACTTCTTTGAAAGTGAGTTTTTCTGGACACAGAAAACAAAACAGATAATAAATTATATCTATTTATCTTAATAACACATTCTAAACTCTTATGATTATCCATGGTGTGGTACAGTAATTAGGTAAGCCTTTTAAAACCTTAAACCATATATACATGTAAGTAATTGTAAAAATGCTAAAGTAAAAAGGGAAAAAATAAATAAACAAAACCTTAAACCACATAAACCAATTCCTCAGCTAATAACTTACCATCTCATTGAGAATAAATTCAAAGTCCTTATACTGAGTACCACAATAGTTCCTACAAGAGTTGGAGTTCACACCAAAACTCATCCCAATTTCCCTTCTTTTGTGCTGTTGCAGGAACACTTTCTTCCTTGCATCTCTCAATAGTCCAGAGTTACTGTTGCCTGTGGGACTTGTACTCCCTAAAACTCATTTAGATTTCTACCCAAATTCTTCATAAATCAATGTACCTTCCCACTCCAACATTCCCTATCGTACGACATTTCTTTTATAAAAATTACTATTGCTTATATATATGGCATCTATGTGCTTGTTACAGATTGTTTCTTATATGTGATTTAGAACAGCACTGCATAGACACCACTTAGTATGTTGAATGAATGCATGAAATTGGGTTATCGTGCTTGACATTGATGTTTTGCCAAAGCAGTACATTGTTTACACCCACAAAATTTGAACCTTTTACCTTTACAAATAAAACAGCAGAGATCTTCCTTTGCATGACTTTAAAGAAGGAAAAATCTTTACAAACACCATTCTATGAAATGACAACTTTAAGGTAATTTTTGCTCTTTGTGAAATAAGTGATCATATAAATTGAGAAACCATTTTTTTTCTGAAGGAGTTTAATATAACAGGAATAAATAAGCTAAACCAATAAACTAACAAATTGCCCTGGTTATCAGACCAGAAGTATTACTGTGGAGATGATATAACTTTTTCCCTATATCCTACTTCTATAATAATAAACAACTCACAGCTATAAAGAGGTGATGGCTTGTGAGGTTATATCATAAAATTTTGTACATTTTTTTATATTAGTACAAGGGCTAACTACTATTTGTAAAACATTATTCTAAATACTTTATGCAGTATTAGTTAAAGTGGTCCTCAAAACAAATTTATATGCATCATGTAGATATTATTACATCCATTTTATAGATGGGGCAACTGAAGGCTGAGAAGTGAGGCCATTTGCTCAAGAACACAAAAGTCACTGATAGGCCTGATTTCAAATCCAGGGAGTCAACAGGTTTCACACTGATCCCAAATAGGTTAATGATTTGAAAATGTAAGAAATAGAAAGGGACATAAAAAAAATCCATCTGAAGCATAAAATAAAGTGTAACAGTGGAAAATCTTGTTAATGAAAATGCTTCGGGGGTGAAAATCCTGACAAGATACAATTCTCTACTAGATTCATTTCCAGGTTACTCTCTGGCTCTTTTGTTCACTGGCTTTTCTCGTAACCCTTACTTTGGACTAGTCAAAACTGTGACATGTACAGTGGCATATGTCCCACACGCAACTATTTTTTAAGGTGAAAAATTAGACCAAATATATTTCATACCAACAAATAAAATACGATTATTATTGCTAAAGGACTGAGAAAATTTTAAAAATTTGTTTATAATATTTAACCCACAGTATTCGTTGATTTTATATGCTTACAACTCGTATAGCTATACTAAAATACATATAGGAAAAACACTGATAAGCTGGTAAGATTTTAGAACATTTTTCAGCACAACATAGTTCATTCTTGAATGTCAGTTTTTATTAGTAATCACATTCTATTTTGTCTGAATCCTTTGTAAGGGAATGAAATTTCAATCAACTAAAACATAAATACAAGACTTACGGTAAATTTCCAAAACTACTGTAGCTTCTTGTGTCTGTCCTTTGGCATCCGTTGCTTGACATCGATATATCCCTGCATCTTCAATGTTTGCATTGTAGATGATTAATCGTGACCTCAGGCTCTCCTTCTGCAGCATAACCCTCTGTGTGGATATTATCTTCTCTCCTTGAGGATTAAACCAATCTATACTCTCAGGTTCACCAATTGCTGCAAGGATCCAAGGAAAAGATGTTTGAAAATCTTTCAATGGTTTGTTTTGGCAGTGACATTTACTATTTTGTAACAATTACAGCAATTTGCAAAAAAATGTAAACAGAAGACTATACACATGAAAATCATAAAAAATTGAAAGTAAACACAAATGTTGACACAAATGTTCATCTTTGTGGAGGACTCAATCCTGCCTAAATAAGCAAACGAAAACAATTCCACAGAAAATTTCCTATATAGTATTTAAGATGTAAGAGTTGCAACTTTGTTAATAATTTATGAATTAATACCACTTAAAAAACTAAAATTGTCTGAGCAGACATTAAACACCACTTGATAGATATGTTTGAACAAAAACACGAATACCAATATGATTTCACACGTTCAACTCTCTTTGCTAAGGTCAAGAAAATATTTGCTATATTGTAAAATTTTCTGTAAGTGCCACAAGTTGTATACCCACCCAGAACAAAATTTAAAAAGGAATGAAAACAAAGTTTACAAACTAATAAAATGAACTTTAAATAACAGATTTCTGTCCTTTACCAAAGGAAAAGGTAATTATGTGATCATGTATTATTACAATCATTAACTATTTTATGACATGTAAAGAATAAACAGGACCAGAAAGTAGAGAAAAACAAAAGATAAAACAGTATTTTGTCCAGTAAAGCAGAAATTACGAAAAAAGGAAATTTTTTACAAAACAAAGGTGGCTTTTGATAATTCTGAATTTTGAATTATTTCCTAAGTTGTTAAAATTGTAAAAATAAATCATTTTTAAATTGCAGTCCTAATATATTTACCCAACTGAAATGAGTGGTTTTATCATTTTAATCTAAAATTATTAACTCTTTAATCATATGATAATGAGTGTGCATTGAAATGATACTTATCTTGCCCTTAACGCAGAGAAACTAAAGCAGATACCTTAAAGCAACTGAGGCCAATAGGAAAAGGAGACCAGGAACTAGATAAAAGGTTAGATCAAAAAGAATTAACCTAGCAGGTAACACCCACGCACAGGAAATCAATGTGAGTCAATGCCCTGTATAGCTATCCTTATCTCAACTAGCAAAAACCCTTGTTCCTTCCTATTATTGCTTATACTCTCTCTACAACAAAATTAGAGATAAGGGCAAAATAGTTTCTGCTGGGTATTGAGGGGGTGAGGGAGGGGGCGGAGTGGGTGGTAAGGGAGTGGGTGGGGGCAGGGGGAAGAAATGAACCAAGCCTTGTATGCACATATGAATAATAAAAGAAAAATGAAAAAAAAAAGAAATGATACTTATCCTGTAGGCCATTATAACCAAATGTTTAAGTTTTCCAATTCAGCATCTTGGTTATTAACCACTTCATGAAAGTTAAAGCTTCTTGTGTTTCATTTAGTTACCAAAAGGATATATTTGCCCTAATTACTCCAGGGTTAATTTGTGGACACAACATACCCTATTAACTCAAATGTATCAAGGACAGAAATATAGAGATAACTAGCATTTACAGGACCTCCATGAATAAAATTGTTCCTTATCATTTTATTTCTGAAATAAGCTTTTAGAAAAACTTTCTTCCTTTTTATAACAAATTAGAGGGACTGAAAAAAACTATTAAAAAGTTTAGGTAAAATGTTCAGTGGATTTTAGCAATGTTATCTCTCAGTTTTAGGAAGAAATCCCTAAAACAATATTAGTTATTACATGATGCACTTTAAGGTATAAGCATCAATTTTAATTCCTCTTTCAGTAGAGAACAAAAAACTAATTTCAATTAGTAATGATTTAATTTTGAAAAATTAAAAAAATGTTTTATACTATTAATTTTGTAAGATAGTCAGAAATATTTTGAATATTTTATTTCCTGATACTATGGTAGTAAAGTTCATTGTCGTGAGTTTATTCTGGATTTTCATACAGCAGTCAAAGTGCTCTTTCTTTTATACTCTCTAATAAATCATAATTCCCATCTTAACAATCTTACCAGTATTGGAATTTTAGACAAATTGACAACATTATACATTTTTATGATCTTGAAAATATTGATTTAAAATTAATTTGCTAGAAAGGATCCTTTCGTATTTAGATTACAGGTTATTCATACTTTTTTAGCTAAAACTAAAGGTGTACTTATTGTTTTGAGTTTCAGAGAACCATGTTCATTAGTTGCCTAGAAACTAAAATCATACATACACAGTCACCCAGAAGTCGAAAAAGTACATAAAAGCGTGCTGATTTGCATGGCTGCCCACATCTTTGTTATTGGGCTCTTATTTTATGACTATAATTAATATTAATAAACCACTTCTGAATCAATGGTACAGCTCATGGCTATCCACCTTTATATAAAAGGAAAAATACTGAGATTTTTTATTAAGAAACTCAGCAAAATGAAATGATTTTTTTAAAAAATTGATCTTATGAAATTGCTTTATTTTATATGTATCATAATGATAATGCTAACACATAAAAACAGTTCCTTTTTTCACAATTTATTTTAAATGATTTTATTTCTCTGTCATGTAATAGAATTGAGTATATATGTGCATGTTTGCATCAAACTAGATGAAATACAAATGAAATTTAAAAACAGAGACCCATGCTGTGTGTGGTGGTGTACACTTATAATCCCATCATGCTGGAGGCTAGAGGATTGTGAGTTCAAGGCCAGGATTAGCTATATAGAGAGTTTCATCACAGCTTCAACTATATAGCAAGACCCTGTTCCAAGCAAGCAAACAAACAATGCCCACCCAAGAAACCAAAATTAAAGAAAACAAAGAAAGATGAAAAAAAACCCTGCCCTATATTTGAATGCCAGGGTTCTTCAGAAATGTTCTGCATATTTGATCAATCATTCTTCTATTCTTTGATTTTCATTTAGCAACATACAAAATATATATTAACCGATTTATCCATCGAGATACTTAACAGTATATGAATGACAGGTTCTATCTTATTTTATACGATGACACTTTATATACATATATTATGAATATGATCTCTGCATTGTTTATTGTAATTTTGCTTCTTCTTTTAATAATAAAGTATTCATTTAAATAAATTTTCATTCTTTTTTCTTGGCGATATTAGGTTTGAACTCAGCTCTCATGCCTGCTAGGCAGGTGCCTTACCAGTTGAGCTACTCCATCAGCCCAACTGTGTCATTCGTAAGGCAACTTTGTCTTCTTTTTTGTGGGGGTGCTGTGAGTTAAACCAAGGGTTTTGTGTATACTAGACAGGCACTTGACCACTGACCTAAGCATCTTGCCCTAAACTCAACTTTTATAATGCATTTTATTTCAAGAATACTTAATCTAGTTTTGAATTGCTTTAGTGTAATGAAAAGCAAAAATAATTCTTAAATATTTTCATAGCCAATTTTACCACCAAGCGAATGCTTTTAAAGATTGATGCATACATTGTTAATATAAATACATATAGAATGTGTTCATTTGTGAGGTCAGTAATATGCTGAATTAAAATTTGAGGCTGAAGTCCTTAAATGACTTCTGAAGGGATTCTGAATCTTCATAACTAAACTGAGTGAGGTTCACATAAATTCTTACAGGGATAGTATATATGACACTTTTAAACTAATACAAAAATCTTGCAAAGGTTTCTTGAGTAAATAAGTACTTAATTTTGATTTTTTGGCAGTACTACTGTTTGAACTCTGGAACTACACCTTGAGGCACTCCACCAGCCCTTTCTTGTAATGGGTTTTATAGGGAGACAGTCTCAAGAACTATTTGCCAGAATTGGCTTCAAACCACCATCCTCCTGCCTCCTGAGTAGGTAGGATTGCAAGTGTGAGCCCCCAGCCCCCAGAAGTATTTAATTTTTTACGTGTCAACTGAGTGTTCAGTGAATTCTCAATATATACAGAATTAGTGTAACCTTATGTAAACGTTTACCACTTTTCCCAAGATATGGCATAATAGAAGGATAAGGGTTTTACAGCCAGTAAAATATATACATACATATGTGTGTGTGTGTGTGTGTGTGTGTGTGTGTGTGTATGATCAAATCCTCTTACCTATATGATATAGGGAAATGCATTGAATCTTAGATGTTTATTTTCTTTCTTAGATGAATATTTCCCTTTCAAATGGATAGAAATTTTTTAATCCTAGAAATGTCACTCAGGTATCTGTGTGTAGTCATATGTCATGTCTACATGTGTCATGTCTAATTTATTCATTGATTACTTAGAAAGATTGTTTGCTTACAATCTTTACAATCATCCTATATGACTGTTTAAACAAGAATGATATTTAAATTGATTTAAATATCTCATGCATACATTATATTTCACAATAAGCTATTTACAAATTGTAACTTAAAATGATATAATACTCATTATTTAATATGTTGTTAGTTATTATTATTCAATATCATTATAAACCCAATGATATGATGCTACTTTCAGAGAACTGAGTTTTTAACTATCTAAATTTACCCAATATATTTTATCAAATATTAAATACAAAGCATGCTATTTGAAATTATTGATATAAATACATACCTGTACATGTGAAGAATTTAGACTCACCCACACTAAGCTCTACTTTGCTAAGTGAAATTGTCACTTGAAGAAGAGCTGAAAAAAATTAAAGTAACAATTACTTGTGGTTTTATATACGAATTCTAATAATGATGTGTAAATCACAATTATTCAAACAACAATTATTCAAACAACAGTTATTCCCCTCAATTTTTCATTATCCATCCTGGCAAAGTGAAGTTTTATAAAATAAAGTTGATGGAGATTATATATGTTGCATTTCTATGTATTTCATGACAGACCAAACACAGCACTTATTAAAGTTAAATTTTCAAAATTCTGTTAGGCAAGTTGAGGAAGAAATTCATACTTAGAAAGTTTCTCCTCATTTATCGTCTAGTCTTATATGTAAAATTAGATTGGCTAAGACTTAAAGAAAATTCTTGCCCAACATTTACACCTTGAGGTAAAGAGGGAATATAATCCCATTACAATAATTAAGATATATAAATTAACTGCATTTTAACTATCTAATAAAAAATTTCTATGAAAGAACGCATACACAGAAAAAGGAGCATTGCACAAGGAAAGGTGAATGAGCACTGATTGATATTCAGGAGATAAATGAGTGAAGGAATCAGGATATTGTCAATAAAATAGAGTAGATGTCCAATATCTGAAATGGTTGTCACTGAATTTGAAATTGAAATACCTGAATATTCTACAATTGTAGAAGACAATTAATTGTGAATACATATTGACGTACATTCTAATACCATGACAGACAAGTTGTATAATCACTCTCCAAACTCTTTCCCACCAAACTTTTTTCTCAGAAATGAGTGTTTGAGCTTTCGATGTTACAATAAATGCATAAGGGATAAATGGAGAAAATTATGAATATACAGTATAAGCCTCTGTTTGGACGTACCTAATCAAATTATCCAAAAGGCCTGTTTAGCTGAGTACAGGCTACAGAAGGTATCCAGACTTACCCAGGACAATGGGGGACTACAGAAAACTACCTAACACTGGACAGGAGTAAGAGTCACTTTTATCATATAGAGGAGACAGAAACAATCAATCTTCTGAAAAACAGAGATGACAAGACTTGTGTCCTGAGACCTGGGTAGAGTGAAAGTTTCTCTCTTAGATTAGCTGTAACTCTGCCCTACTGCAGTTTGGGATTTTTAACCTTGAATATGTGTTCATTGGAAAACCCAAAGCAGAAAACTAAACTAAAATGCAGCCTCACATAAGAAGATTCACAGCCAACTGACAAAAAAGAAAACATTACAGTGCAGATCATCCACTAATTTTGTAAATGATGTTTTCTTTAGTCAAAGCTCACTTTCTGGACTTAGAATATTAAAAGTAAAATAAGGCACTATGAGCAAGAGTCAATCAAAACAATGAGCACAAGAAAAGTACCATGATGTTTCAAATAATCTAGTTGAGATTAGGAATTTAACATAAGGTAACTTTATCAAAAATGTGTAAGCAAATAGAATGTGGAATCAAAAACATTGCAAAAGCAAGAGAAAGGATTTCAAATGTTTTAATCATAAATGCAGATTGTTTGAGAAGATAGATAAGCTTAACCTAATTTAAAAATTGCAGGACATATAAATGTATCAAAACATCATATAAATCCATAAATATATCTATGTTTAATGTGCTACACAGCAGTTAAAATAAATCTAATTGAAGCATAATGAAAGAGCAAATACTGGATAAATACGTTGTTTTAACTCTTTAAAATATGTTTCCATATACTCCTCATCATTGACTGATATATCCTTCTTTTTCAGAAATTTTCCTGGGAAACCTAAACTGTCATTTGTCTCTCCTCTCATCCTTGGATCTCATTTTATTTGTAAATACACAATCATCAGAAAATATTTGTCATATTATAGGAGATCAACAAAAGTACAAGTAAAAAATATTTCAGAGATATCACAAAAAAGCTGAAATGTCTTGTTTCTCATTCTATTTTTTCTCCTACAAAATCAGAGAACAGGATGGTGGAACAAGTTCTGCCCAAGAGGGAAGGCTGGCACTACTGGGAGCAAGGAAGTGTTAGGGAAAGGGGTTAGAAGGGTGATTATGGTTCAAAAAAATGTGTACACATTTAAGTAAATACAAAAATGATACCTGTTGAAACTACTCCAGCAATGTTGGTTGGAAAGCGTAAAGGAAAATGGTTGAGGAGGTGAATACATGTATGATAAATTTGATACATTGTAAGAACTGTGTAAATGCCACTATGTACTCCTACCCAGCACAACAATAAAGGAAAACAAACAAAAAAAAGAATACTTCAAAGAGAAATAGCAAAGAAAAGTACAAGTCAGAAAAGTAGGAAGGAAACTATTAGAAAGATAAGGGAAACTATCTTAAAAATATGAATAATGCCATATCTAGTGAAAATTCACAAAATATACTTCAAGAGGTAGCTGATTTCATTGGTGAACTAAGTTTAAGTGGAAATAGGTCAAAAATGGATAATGGTAGAGGAACTCAATGTATTTAAAATTGCCTTTTATAAGAAGGATGAGTCTGAAGAGATGAGTCTGGGCATTGGGGCAAGCATTTAGCAACTGGAGAACACATGACATGTTATGGATATAGCAGAAAGAAGCAGGAAAAATTAAATGGATCCAAAGAAAAGAAAAAGGTAAATTACAATTCAGTTCTTCATTTTCTTTTCTCTTCTATTTCTTTCTATTTTTGTTATCATTTCATTCCATGCCATCAGTTCCATTTTCTCTTTGAATCGCTCATCTGTACTTTCCAAGTATCTAATGTTGCAATATCCAACCTTCAGCTAGCATCCTTACAGATACCATATTTAAGGTCAAGCCTTCCATGAGCAAACTGAATCAATTACCCTTTCACCAAAATTTTCTCACAGTTCACTTCCATTTTTAGTCATTCATACATTTGCAAGTCTTGGAGACATAACCTCGGAAATAGTACTGTGTGCGTCATTGTTTATTTTCAAAAACATGCACTTGTTAATTTTAGCCCAAAATATTTCATTAGTCTCCATTTATTAACATTTACCTCTTTAATTCATTTTTCTGTTTAAAATATTTCTCCAGTGGGTTGCATCCTAAATTTCTAAAACTATTTTTCATTCCACTCTCCTAACCAAAAAAACCTTCAAACTAAATTACTTTGTTCAACAAATCAATCACTTATAAATATTAAATTTATGCATTTATTTAAGCGTTTTATTAGTATGCATTGGCTCTACAGAGGATTTTGGTGTGAAATTTTGTCATATGTGTACAGTGTACCCCAAATTGATTCATCTCTTCTATTCTTCTTCTTCTTGCCCCTCCTCATTCTTTTGTTTATTTATTTAATTTTTTTGGTGGAACTGGGGTTTGAACTAAGGGCTTCACACTTGCAAGTCAGGTGCTCTACCACCTGAGCCACACCTCCAGCCCCCCTCTTCTTAACATGATTTTGATAAGTTTCAATATTTGATATTCATACATACGGAATACAGAAAATGCACTGGTCATATTCACCCTTCTTTACCATCTTCACTGACTCCCAGCCTACCCTTGTACCCTCTCCTTATCATGATTAAGTGTCTGTTCATTGTTCAGTGGAGTTTTGCATTGATATTTTACCTGTAGCTATTCAATTTTATTTCCAATTATTCCTCTCCAATTTTTCTGCAGCTATAGGTCTCACCCTCCCTTTACTGAGGCACATTTTCCTACAATACTGCTTTAGCTCAAATTGTTTTCTTGCCTTCATCTGACTTGTACACATCTCTACATGTCTGCCTCAGTCCTATCTTCAGAGGAAAATGAAAATGTCAATAACTTTATAGCTTCCAATAGGCCCATCAATGGTATCAATGAATAAACACATTTGAACAGTAAGTATTTTTACTAAACAAGTGAAATGCAATGCATATTGCTGATAATTATATTTGCTTCTCTAGCTTATTTAAATTTAAATTCTAGATACCAGGGCTTTTCAACACACTTTTCTCTCTTCTAAACAGATTATAGAGGTGACTTCAGTGTCTTAAATGAATATGAAGTTATGAGATAATTTGGGAAATTTCTGTAAATTATAACTTAAGCCATTCCTATCCCTGACCTGTGAGGTAAATTTACTTTTCCAAAGAAGTGTTATGCAAGAGTCAGAAGTTGAAAGATATAGTCATTTTAAAAATCAAATAACGTTCTAGACATTTTTATACTGATTTGCTGATAGTTATAATAAATAACATATATTCATTGTAATAAAATGAAGTTGACCATGAAATTAATTAGCTAATTTATATTAAAATACTTGGCTAATTTTTCACTTAGTACAAATTATCAATTCATCCATTAATCAAGGCCATATTTTTAATTGGCATTATGGTGACTGGGTACATTCCTATAGTGTATTGCTAAGGATGCTTAAAATTATAAAGAAAAAAGATACTAATTTTTTTGCTTTACAATATTTCCCAAAGGGCAGATTTGCTCTAATTTACCTCTGCTGATGAACTAAAGAATCTGAATCTTAGATAAAACCTAAAGCACTAAAATTAGAGGTCATGCACTGATCATTGCTCTAGTGACTTAACATTCAGAATTTCTTGTGATTAGTCTTCACCTATGTCTGTCTCCAAATGGCTAATTTTGGGCCCAAGTGTCAGAAGAATGCTAACCCATTTTTCCAATGTCAAAAAGTTATATTTAGAGAAAATTAGAAAAGGATAATACACTTGACATCTGTTCAATTAATCTATCTTTCAATTCTGAGGTGACAATTTAAGTATGAAAAACTCAATATAAATAATAATCTGTGGCCTTTATTTCATTTAGGACAGAAAAGTAAGAGTTTTAAATTAAAATTTCAGTTTAGGATTGTGGTTTGAAAATAAAATGGCATTACCTCATGGTGAAATATCTATTTTCAACATTTTATTCTTCTCAGTTAATTGGAAAAGATATAGCACTTTAAAGAGAAGTGTGATATATAGAGGGTAAATAGATTCGTTGCTATAATGACCAGTAATGACCAAATGAGTGTGTCTATCATAAATCAACTAATAAATCATTTATACTAGAGTTAGA